TTAGTAATTTATTTTTAAACTATTTCTACGATGATGTTAATTTTTTCGAATTTTCATATTAAAAAGTAAATCTGTCAGAGATGTATGTGTTTCCCCTTTTTTTGTTTTCTAGATGTTTATTTTTCCCTTAAATCAGATATTATGTTAGAAAGATCGTTTAAACATTGTTAAGACTGTAGTACATTAATTCTTATTTAATTGGTTTTGTGTATACTGCTGTAATGTAACCATTGCTCTTAATTTTTTAAAGTTTAAAGTTTATTGCTTTCACTATTGTTTGTTCACATTTTGTTTGTTTCGACGTGATTTTCTTTCATATATTTTTTTAAATTTTTTTAGGTCTTTACTAACATGGGCTTTTGTTGGTTTTATTAATCTTTACAATTATTACACTGTGTTTTCTTGCTGTAATTTTATTGTTTGCTCGATTAATTTATGTTTTCGTATTAGTATATTGGTATGTTTTACATTTTATTAATAAATCATCCTTCAATTTTTTTAAAATTTGTTTTTATACTACATCTCCCAGTTGATTTTTTATAATTATTTCTTGCTGTTATTTTGCAGTTCGCCTTTCTTTCCATTATTCTATTTTGTATTTGTCTGGTATTCTTTTTTTGGTTTCGTTGGTGGTCCTTGATTTTTGGATAATTTTTTAAAAATTAAATTAAACTTACAATTTCATCTTTCATCGCTATTTGTTTGTAATCATTTGTCAATTTTGTTTGCTACAGTTTATTTAACAAATATAATTGTATACATTATCCCCTGCATGCAGACGCAAATAAAAACTTTACAATTAAATATTATATCAATTGGTGTAAAGGTGATTCATTGTTATTTTCTAAACAAATACAGATTCGTACATTAAAATGTGTTATATTGTTTGTGGCCCAATTGTTTATATTCGTAGTAAAACGAATATTTTATGTGTGTGTAAAAACTTTTACTTGTTTATTTTTACAACGATTCGGAAAATGTCTCAGATTCGCAAGAAAAGTAGTACGTGGTAGGTAGAAAACCTGGAGATCTGTGAATTGTTAGGGCCGTGTGGGGCATAACGCATACGTGCCGTGTGTGGTTAGGTGGTTTTCAAACCACACGGCCCCCTGCCACAGGATCGGAAAACGATACATGCTTTGAGAGGATATGTCAGCAGTCAAGTAACAGAGGGCCAACTCCTTACCTGACAAGCTTATAAAGGGGAAAATCGGTTTATAGGAGCCTGAAAGATACCTTTTGCCAGCAGGAGCTCAATTACGTTTGTTCTAAAGAATTTTTAACTACAAAATCAACTTCCTAATTCCATACATGTAATTGTGGCTATGAGAAATATGGCGGTATTCTTGTCATCACAATTTTTAAGTACCTTTGGTTAATTTCTAATGCTATTAAAGCCTGCCTCACACATCCTCTTAAACATGGTTGTTTAAAAAATACGCATAATTTTTTTCATAGACATTAATTAACAGAATATATCGTATTACGCGTTTTGAGCTTACCTATTAAGCTCAAAAATCTGACTGATAAAAGCCAGCTAATACGGTAAATATACAATAATTTGAAGCAAGTTTTGATTTAATTACTTCGAAGTTATTGCAATCCTACACCCTGATTAAAACGACGTCCAACCGCTAATTTGGTGTCACTGAGGAGAGGGTCAGCACCAATTTATAATAATTTGTAAATTAAACTCAAATATTATTCCAATGGTAATACCGGGTTTCCGACTCAGAACCGCCTTTGGCCTTCGCTGCCCCCTTCTAATCATTGATCAGAAGTGCATTTCTGATTATCCTAGTTCGTCCATCATCTCTGCCGTTTGTTTTAGAAAGGTACAAATTTAAACCAAAAGAAGCTGACCCTAACGATCAGAATTATATCAAACGACAAAATAACAAAAACTTACAATCAAAAACCGTTCATTGTAGCTAGCCTGGCGAAAAATCTTCTAAAAAGAAAGACTGTATCTTGTTGTATAGGGCGTTTAGTCTGTAATGTACTATAAAAAATACCTGCAGATGTCGGAGATTTCAGACGTCTTGGATGTTTGTTGGAAAGTTTAAATAATTAAATAAATTCTACTTGCAATTAAGATGGAAGGATTTAATTTGGATTTATCAAACTGTTGTAAGTTAAATTAAATTAACTAACAATATTTCAATTTGAAAGCAATGAAAATTTTGTTTTTAGAATAATTTGGGGTACATCTGAAGTAAAAAAGAAGCGGGACTTCCTGACCAAATTATAAACCAGAATAGTCGGAACAGTGTAATTAGGGATGTTTTACTACCAAATAATTTTTCAAATTAACGTTTAAATAAATTGTTGTTCTACATATATTTAATATTTTCATAATATAAATGTACTATTCTAACTGGAGATGTGATAATACTATGAATCTTTTGATATTCAACTTTTTATTTGACGATCCAAAAGTATAATTTACATTAATAATAATTTTTGCTATCGCATGCATACTACCATTACCTTTTTTTATTTTGCCTTATGACATTATTAATTTTGATTTATACTAACATGTTTTGGGATGGTGCAAAAATAATTCAAGTTTTGAAAAGGCAGTTGAAACTATTTTCAATTTTTGTAAAATAAAGAAACTTTATTCGAAACATTTTCCATCACAATCTATACATCTTTGCGTGTAATACGAGTTTAATTCCGCTGACATAAAAATCTGTATTTCGACTCACAATAAAGTCTTAGAATGCGTTTTCGGCTTCACCACGTTCTTTAAAAATACCTCAAGAAGTGATCAAAAGGCCTAACATAAGTAGAAGTCTGTGGGCGAAAGGTCGAGTGAATTTGGAGGGTGCGACATCCTAAATTCCTACGTTTTCGCAGGGTTGGCATTGCGACATGTGGCCTGGCTTTATCATGAAGAAGCATTGGCGCCTTACGGTTTACCAAGGTTGGACCAAGGTGTTGCCCTTGTATTTTGTCAATTTCTTGGCAATATTTTTCTGTTGTGATAGTTTCACCATAATTCTGGATATTATAGCGAACAATCCCAGCAGTACACCACCAAACAGTTACCATAATCTTCTATGGGTGCAGATTTGGTTATGGGAAGTAATTTAGCGCTTCATCCTTGTCCAACAACTGACCTGTACGCCTCCTGTTATCAGAATCCATTTTTCATCGCACGTAATGATTCGATCTAGAAATAGATCGTTTTGGTGGCGCAACAGAGGCGCCACAATTTCCTGTTTTATTTTACGTGAATTTTCTTCAATCGTTTTAATTTGGTCGTCTTCCACAACGGAAGGCCTTCTAACTTTCTCCAAACCTCTTCTGATTTTCCAAAGATCTTGTCCGCCTTTGGTTTAACATGTAATAAACAATTAAAATTAGTCATGAAATGACGAAAGCAATAACTCAAAGTTTTTTTAGAAGCAGATCAAGAGATTTAGTATAGCAAATATGATAGCATATAAATAGACTCAAGGGGTGACGTTAAAAACTGGATCTTGAATGATATGGATTTTTACTACCCATCCTCTTCCTTCGAGAGATATACAGCGGAGTGCTTTTTGCACCGAAACAGGTAAAGTAGTAAGTTGGTAGTAACTTTAAAGCGTAGAAAACTACAAACAAAATCAAATAAGACAAATATGTGAATGTGAAACCAAATGTGTCAATACGTGTTAATCAGATTTTAATTAATTATACTTTTTAACTAAAGTTTTGGTTGAGTCGAAAAAGCAAGTGCCACGAGCGGGTTCGAACCGGCTACCATCGGCTATTATAGTCCATTGTGAATACTAAATCCATACATGGGTAAATCATATTGATTTTCAAAATGTTAAAATTTCATTAAATATTACAGTATTAATTAATGATTGTTAATGAAACTTTTCCAAGCTCCAACCTGACGTGAATTGAAAGTGTGGTGGTCCCTGAATTATTGAACGTTTCTCAGGAATTCCCTTATCTTCCAGGTCTGCCTATTTTGGTAATTTACATAAATACAAATTAACTTAATCGTAAACGAACAATCAGCAATTATCTATCGAATTAACTGCCCAAATCAACAATAAGCTAAACCAGAAAAATAATCCAAAAAAGATAGTTTAAGGTAATACAGCTGTCAGGGAGGGAGAGAGAGAAAGAGAGAGCGAGAGAGAGAGAGAGAGAGAGAGAGAGAGAGAGAGAGAGAGAGAGAGAGACGGAAATGTGTTACGTCAGTATGCATTTATGTCCAGACTGGAATTTTAGAAAAAAACAAACCGATTTTGTCCCTAGGAATATTTAAACTCTTTCTCTTTGTTGATTTAAATCCATGCTTCTTTTAATATATGCACAGTCTCAATTGTTGAAAATCTGTCTTGCTTTTGCATTGTGCTATTCAGCTTATTTAAAATGGTTAAATATCATATTTTTTAATATTTCGTTCATACCCTGTTCTTTTTCGAATTGTTAATTACAAAATTAAAACAAAATTACCATGAAAAATAATAGTCAAATATTACGTTCTGGAAGCTTTTTTTTTAAATTTGTCTGTCTAGGTTTACAGGAGTTACACATTATACATAGTTTCATACCAGAAGCTAACTCCACAAGTACAAATCGATCTGCTCATAATCAAATATATTTCCTATTATCAATTTTATTTTACTAGGATTCTGCCTAGAAATCGAATCGTTTGTATAGTTGTAATCTTTGCATATTATTATGAAAATTTCAGTTGTTTGCTGTCGAGGTAGCAGGATTTGGTAATGGTGGGTAACCAAGAAAAAGGTTATATCATTTTTAGATTAAGTTGGCCACTTGTGTTTTTTATTAGTAGTTATGAACCATGTTTTCCACTAGATCTGGGGATGGAATGAGTTGAGAGCTTACATATTATTACGACGGGTTCTGATGATAAGGCAGAAAAATAAATTACATCGCTGTAAGAAGCAAATTTTGTGCCTAGGTCAAACGGGGTATTGTTATTAACATTATAAAAGTAGACCTAAAATTAAATTTTAACGCAATTATTAAGTATTTTGGTTGAGCTTATATTTGTTGAATAATGCAGCCTTAACGGTTCACGACTTTTTTCTTTTTCCTGCGAGCCACCCTCTGTACGGTAGTTTTATAAATGGTTTTTTTCTTTTTCGTATTCTTACCCGGGATTGTCGATTTTCTACTTCGAGTGGGTGTCTGGTACTTACTTGGACCCGGCATTTGGATGACTACCCTGCTTTCAGGGGCGGAGTCGAATTCCGCCAGTTTGATCAAACTACCATGAGAGAAGGAGGAGGTGGATTGCTTTCGAATTTTTGGTATCGTCTTTTTCTTTTTATAAACGTTTCGTACAGGCTTTACTCTCTTCTTTTGTGACTGCATTTTCTTGGCGTTCTGCTCAATGATTGGATGATGATCTCTTCAGTTTTTCGTCGCCTTCGTCACAACTGCTCTGCAACTTCTTGTTCTGCGATTTTAAAACGACAGCTTGGATTTCAGCCCTGAGAAGAAGCTTTTGCACGGTGGACATTCCCTTCAGGTACGGTACGAGTGTTTTGAAGAAAACAACATCATCATCGTCATCGTCCACTTCTTCTTTTTTCTCAGGTGCTTTCTTCAGCTTACATTGCAATCGGCTGTCGGATTGGTCGTTCTGCGGTGGATCGTTCTGCTGGGGTTCCTTAGTCGGTTCGGAATTGGGCTCAGACGTTTCTTTTTCTTTTACCTGCTTCGCATCAACCTCATCGATCTGCTGTTTTGGCATGTCTCTACAAAAAGATTAATTTGGTATAATTCAAAATTCTCATACTCAAAGAAAGAAATTATAAGACACATTACGTACATTTGTTGAGCTCCATTTTTTTTGGAATTTTTCTTTTTTCGTTTCACTACCATCTTGCTATCATGTCGCTATAATTATAACATTTACAAAAATAATTACACAAAGAACTCAAGGAATTAACGCTTACCTTACTCTTGAACTTCCTGATAAATTCTATTACGATCGATTTAAGGCATACCGGTTGCAATGTTCATGAACTTGGCTAAAGTACTATATGATAATTTCAGCTGACTAATCACATGTTTTAGACGCTGTTTCAAAATCAAGCTGTATTAAAAAAAAGCAGTTTAAAAATAATATATTTTCACATCAACTCGATAGACAATACTATATAGATATTATATACATTATGTTTACACAAATCGATTATTAATCAGAGTAAATATTACGTTTATGGATATAAATGTTCAATATTGTAAAAAATTAAAAACTTAGATAAAACACCTGCGGCTTCAAAAAATCCAAAATTTCTATCAACTATAACTGCGTTTTTAATAAATAGGAAAAAATAACATATAAACCGATATCTCAATTCAACGAGTCATCAATGACGTATAAAGTCTCTAAAAATACAAATCGCGAACTGTTCAAAATCAAATAATTTCATGTTAATATAAACATCTTCCAATGGTATTGGGTTGGTGCAAAATTAATGCAGACTTTGAAAATTTGTTTTATTTTCGGAGGTGCTTGTCATGTAAACAATGATAAATCATCAAATCTAATTTATGGATTATAATACACACTTTCAACTGTTATCTTTCATACAAAACCTTTTAGTTTATTATGAATATTATAAGAGTGAGGACCTGCGATATTAAATACGTCTAAACTAGATTTTCGTCAAATTTATTTTTACGAATATAAAATTGGGCGAAGTGCGTCCTAAACAGCTAATAACATCAATACAGTTTGTAGGGAGGGAAGACTAGCGAGTGCACGGTGCAGCGATGGTTTCAGATATTTCGATCTCAAAGCAGGGAAGGTCCTAGGTAAGCCTTCGTTGTGGACATCGAACAACTCAAAAAGTTGATTAAAGAAAATTCACGTAAGACAAAACGGGAAATTCTCAACTCAACCCATGTTCGCCCCCAGGTAACGCGCACTAACTGAAGCCCAAAGAAATCGACACTGAAATTTGTACGTCTCCTCTTTTGCGTCACCAAAATAATCCGTTTCTCGAACGAATCAAGTCCGCTGAGAAATGAATTCTGTACTATAACGGGAAACGTACAGTATACGTAATAAAATAACAGATCAATGGTTGGACAAGGATGAAGCGCCAAAACATTTCCCTAAATCAAATCCGCACCAAAAAAAGGTTATTGTGACATTCGGTGGTGTACTACTGGGGTTGTTCCCTATAACTTCATGAATTATGGCTAAACTATCACAGAAGAAAAACATTTCCACGAAATTGACAAAATGCAAGGGAAACTGCAACGTCTTTGTCCAGAATTGGTAAACCGCAATGGGCCGATTCGTCTTCACGTTATCGCCAGGCCACATGTCACAAGGGCAACCAACCCTGCGGAAACTTAAAGACCTAAGATATGAAACCTTGAAGCACCCTCCAAATTCACCCGACCTCTCGCCTACAGACTTCCACTTTGTTAAGCATTTTGATCACTCTTGAAGGATACAATTTTTAAAGAACGCGGTGAAGCCGAAAACGCCTTCCAAGACTTTATATACATTAGCAAAGACGTATAGATTGTGACGGAAAATATTTCGAATAAATTTTCTTTATTTTATAAAAATTAAAAACCAGTTTTGGCTGCCTTTTCAAAACCTACATTATTTTTGCACCAGCCCAATAAAAAAGAAAATTCGTATAATCCAAGCGGTCATAAATTATTTGGCAATTTCCTACCGGTCCAAAATATTTTAAATTCCTTGGTCATTTTCAACAAATTGCAGTAATAAATGTAAATAGTTCTTTGAATTAATTAATATTTGTATGTAATGTCTTGGTTGAAATAAAAAGCTAGTATCACGATAGCTCAAGTGGTTAGAGCAGCGGCGTATTGAGCCGAAGGTCGTGTGTTCGAATCCCGCTCGTGACACCAGCTTTATCATTTCGACCAAGTCCTTACATAAAAATATTAATTAATTGAAAGAAGTAATTTGGTCAATCAGACCATTAAGTATAATGCATTTAATAATGTAAATAGTGTTTAAAAAAATCGATGTAGGATTTATATTTCTTAGCGAAGCGATAATTATGTATATATATATATATATATATAGTAAAGAACTAAAAGGAGAAAAATTGGATTTGAATTTGAAAAATAGATGATACTTCACGCAAGAATGTATAGAATGTTTGTAAAAAGGTTTCCTCATATTTCTTCCCCCTGTACAAGATTAATAACTGAAATCTTTAGTAGAACACAATCCATGATTTATGACAGAAAATAGGTCATATATTTAATAATTTGTAGAAATTAAATCATTATAACGTTTCGATCCTTGTGCCACTTACTTATTTGATACTGAATTTGCCGTTGTCAATTGGTATTTAAGTGTCAAGTATATTATAAAATTTATTGTAGAGATATGAAGTGTTGTCTGACGCGATACAATTTGGCAATCAATACTAGACAAACCAAATGAGACTTTAATAACTGTATTAAAACTATGATTATTGGTTCCTCAGTAGCGTTTCGGCATCGACACTTTACTAAGAGATCTTCAACAATCCTCTTACTCATACTTGTCTTCGTGTGAAAATGAATTAATTAAGAAAAATCACTCTACCCAAAACTACCCACACATTTAGTTTAGTTCAATAGTTCAATAATATATCGATCACATCTGTGGATAATGGTATGTGCCTTAGGGCAGTGCTTCGTAAAGGGCCGGCAAATAGGCAGCCACACTTTTAAGAAAACAGGAGAGTTCGAAGCCGCCAAAACGCTCTACGTGTGCAGCATGTTTAAAAAGGACTAAAAAATCTTGTGTTGGTTTGTTCATGAGTTGGCGTCCGTTAAACAGGGTTTCTTTAATTATTATACGTATATTGTCTTGAAAAAATTTAAGTCATAGTTTCATTTTCTCATTTATAATTATAAAAAGAGTTATTCCCTTTTCATTTTTATTGTAACAAATTACCATTAATCTTATTGATTCTATTGTTTATTTTTAATGTAAGAAGATTTTTCTTTGTTTTACGATTACTGTAAATATTCTGTAGAAGCACAATCCCCCAACTCTACAACCTCTACCTGTACCAGAGTTAACGCTCTGCCTTAGCACTCATACATACGAAAATGCTTAAGAACTAATTAGCCAAGCTTATTTGGACTAGTGATTGGTGGAGTTTAGTCAAACATATAAGCCCCATCCAAACTGCCCAATCCTTAATCCTAAGAGAAATCCTTCATGTTCCATTTTATTTGTCCAACAAAATTACCCATACCGATATAGATATTTCTTTCGGGCGAAATGTAATACGCTCCCGTTAATGCAAATTTCATAAAAACCTCCCTACCTCCATAAATCCTCAAATCCCAATGAATTCCCTCAAATCCTACTCGCCGGCTAAAGAGCTGATAGCCGCGTGATTTACTATCCATAGACATTGACAGTGATGCTGACACATGTTGTATTGAAATAGACAACACGAAATTGGAGTGCTCCTGGACACACCATGGGTAGTTTTTATTTCAAAATTCTCAGTCCCCCCCCCAATTTGTTGAAACTGTGTAGTGTGCTAAGGAAGCGCTCAACCCAAAAACTGTGGAAAGAACTATGTTAAAGTCAACTTAGATCTTATTCAATTCAGGGATACAAAAATGGTATATAATTATTTTTTGATCTATCTTATTTAAAATGATTAAAAATAAATTTAACGAAAACCCGAAATTATTTCACTTCAATTCGATATATCATGTTCCCATCCAGTTGAATTACCACAGGTAGCCCGGACGGACTTGATAAATGGAAATGATATCGACTGGAAAGTCGGCCGTGACGACAATAAGGGATATGATGAAGGTCCTAACTTTATATCTAGATGTACCAAAAACAGTGTTGGCCATTTTATGTAAAGCTTTCTCCAAAGATAATTTATCGGCTACCTTTCCGACAAAAATCATTGTTTCACTCTAAAAGTTTGTTGGGTAGTTGTAATTGGTAGTGTTTTTTTTCTATAAACTTATACAAGACATATATCGTTTTTATGAAAAACTTTTTATTATAACGCGGAATATTTTCCCTATGTTCAGCTGTTCACATTGTAGATTGTATTTTGTAATATATAAATAATAACCTGTTAACTGAAAATACATTTAGTTAAATATGTGTATTCTTTAAAGGCAAACCTCAACAGTATGTATGTATTAAATGAGGATAGATATACATATAACAAATTACAAAAATTAAAACACGTTTGTAAGTTAAATAGGCAAAACATTGTTTAAAAAATTGAAACAAGTTTGAAGCATCCTTCCCTTTTTTCGTTTCATTGGTCATTTAAAACTCTAGAATTAATATAACAAGCAAATATAATGGTGATAGAAAGGGGATTTTTGTTGACTGGGTGGACAACATTTACATATTACATTTCCTGTGTGTAATGTTTTAATGACTTCTGGAAGAGTGCTGTGGTGAGATATCAGATCCCTGCACGAAAGCTTTATCCTGTATGAGCTGGTATGTAAAGAACTCCGCGTTTTTTTTTTATATCATATGTACCTGTCAACAGTTTCCGACGATATGGTAACATCTTGGTGTCGTGGATTGCACGTGAAGTTGTTAGCCCCGCACTTTAGGGTTCTTGCAGAAAGCTGGACGTATTTAGTTAATTTGCAGTCAAATATGAGTGGCGGTTTTAGGGTTCCTTTGGTTGGGGGAGCGGTTTCGACATCGTTTGTTTCTGACAGTGCGGCAAACGGTTATAAGTAAGAAATCCTGGAGGAGCAGTGTCAGCCATCCCAGTTGTGGTCAGCAGTGCTGGATCGGAACACGTTGAAGGTTCTGTTGTGAAGGACGAATTTCCTCAGTTGGAGAACTAAATATGGTAGTGCGGTCTTACTCGTTCTTCTCATTCTAATACATATTTATCTTAAATTAATTTTCTAACTCTAGCAAGATGGAGTTTACTTATCCAGTTCTCCAGTTACATGTTACATTTGTTTAACATAATTGTTACATTATTCGGAAATCGTGAGACCGCATCGTCTAATGGTCACTAATCACCGCACATAATTGTTACAGTTTAAATATAATTTTTACAATTTATTCGATTATTTTAGGTTATTGTA